CGTTGATTTTAACCCCAGACACAGGGAGTCTGTGCCTGACTGGCACTTTTGTTATTAAAATGATGCAGACTCATATGGAAAACCTGTGGGTGGGGGAAAGACGACTGAAATGGGACGATTTGCGGGTCATGTGTTTTATGGTTAATGTGATGACGCACTATTGGCTATTTTAAAATTTAAACCAACTTGAACCTTAAACGCGCAACTAAACTTTCACCTTCACTAACCTATAACGTTGAATTTGTGCAGGTAAACTCRTTCATTAAAACATTTGTATTTTTTAAGCAAAGAAAAACACTTTAAAACCCATTTTGCTGTAGTTGTATTGAACAATTAAGAGGTTAAAACAGTCTATTTCAATGCGTTTATTTTTAGGCATCTATTTTTCAACATTAGTTATATAACCGGGTGGAAAGTMTTTTCTTTCCCATTACATCACTGACATTTTAGAATAGCAGCATTTTATTTTAGTTTCTTTATGCAGAAAAAAACGTTTTCCTAAAAAAATAAATTAATTGACCTTGCATTTTTCAAAATTTTCTGTTTTGAATCTCGGCAGAAGGGAAAGAAGAAAGACCTTTCAAAGATATGATAACTATAAAGATGAATCACTCCTGTGGCTYTCTGGAGTCCCAAATCAGTTCCGATCGTTGATTGGATAATCCGAGTAAGCTCTTTTCTTATTGGATGTTAGCGTGAACAGCCGAACAACATTTTTGACTCCAGCCCTGCCTGTTTTTTCATTCACTATCTTCGGCATAAATTACATGCGTGTAAGCATACACTACATTCGTGAAAAATGGCAGCTGACGAATAGAAAAAAAGTGGATCTTCACTCGAAAAACGACGCCACTAGTAAGTTCGTTTTTTGAAATAAAGGTCACATATTTTAGAAAAATATGAAGTCGAAACTTCTCGACTCTAGATGGGCTTATTTTTTCCCCTTCATATGAAAGAAACTGCTCCCAGAAGGTTAACGCTAAGGTTAGCCAGTTATTAGCCAGCAGTGGTGGGGATCGAATCAAGCGGGTCCAGTTGTCAACATTGGGCCCAGACTAATACCTGCAGCACCGTGCCGTTGCGTTACGTTCTGTTAGCGCAAAGATGCGAAATAAAAATGTCACGGAACACTTTAAGGGAACCAGTTTCGACATTTTAGCCACGCTAGCAAGTTTACATTAAAAAGATTGAGGTAAGTGAAGTAGTTTTGCCCAAAGCTAACAGGAAAAGCTTACAAGTTTGGGAGTAAAAACCTGAAAAGTGGACAAGTTTAGTTTCAACACAATACAGTGTTTTATTAAGTTATAACAACATGCATTGCTTGTTATACTGTTCAACTCTTAACACATGTTGTACCTGCATCCCGTTAGTRGTATTTGATTTTTAGCTTAGTCACAATAATATTTGTACAATAATGATTTGTTTTTAATGTAAAACTGTGTTTGATCGTGAAAAACGCACACCGGTTTGCCTCATTTAACACTAAAAGTGATTTTTCTGTTTTGTTCTCATCAAAACCTGCTGTGTTTTCATTGTTTTGTTAGCAAAAGGAAAAGGGAAAAGATGAAGAATGCACACAAAGTTAGAATTTCTCCTTTGGGTTGTCCCAGCACCACACAGGCCTTAAACAACCTGGCTCTGGCTTCCTGTCTCAGATTGAGTGGATTATTTGTGGAAAACCTCATTATTCTGCTTTACATTCTACATGTTCAAACACAGATTGAGAAAAGTTTGTTTTTTAAATTCAAACATTTTGGATAACAAATGTCCTGAATTTCCACTGAACTTGTGAAAAGTTTGATTGCAATGAAACTTTCAACAAATGCTCTTTGGTGTAAGTTCAAMATGCTTTAGCTTTTTCTGTGGTTAGATTAACTGTGTGTTTTAATAATTAACTTGTAATTAACCCTTATTTACTTCTGAGTTTAGTTTGATATTGCAGAAAAATATATTATTATTACAGTCGTGTACATGTTGCTGGTTTAAAAACGTGCTTACAAATCAAATCAGTTGACATTCTTTGGTGTTTTTTACTTTAAAAAAGCAGAATTGGATTAAATTATATACTAATTTWTACCCAAAATCTGTCTCCCTAATATGAATTAAACATCTACCGGTGCATGACAAATAGAAAACTATTTTCTTGTGCAATTCTGGGTCCTGTAATGACTCTCAGGTTTATTATTTGTTTGTGTAAATAAAGCACAGCATTAGTGTTTGTTGTTATCTTACTGTCAGGCTTTATTTGCAATAATACTAAATATTTTCACGTTTTATACTTTCAGGATTAAACAGACTGAAACTGGGTAAACATCCTGCACCCGGTCACTAAAAGCTTCACCATGGGAAAAACTCTTCTAAAAGGTACAAGTTTGACTTTYTTATTATTATTATTTGTTACAAAAAATAATAATGTGCTTCAGGGTTTTTGCAAGTTTATTACTTTAAATAACTTTATAATATAAAAAAGTTATTTTAGAAAACAATAGTCTTCTAAAGCAATGTTTCCCAAAGTTGGGGTCGGGACCCAAAGTGGGGCCCCGAAACATCAAGTTGGGGTCCTGAAAAGATTTTCTGAATTAATTACATTTTTGCCTTAGTTGTTACAAAGGAGTGAGG